GTGTTCTTCTGCCTCCAAGCTGCCCAGGGCTCTGTGTCCACTCCTGTCCCTCTCCCTGAAGTGGCTGCTTGGCTTAGAGACGACATTCACACAGACGTCTAGAAGCTGGAGCGAGGAGATGGTGAGTTCTGCAGAGAACCGGGTTCTTCTTACCATAAGAGGGTGAGGCTGGGTTTGAATTGTTGGGGGACCAGCTGTGTGCTGTGGGACTGTGGTTCCTCAGTGAAGAGACAATGGGACCCAGGAGGCGTCTTACTGCCCTGCTCCAGCGTCACCGGTCCCTTCCTCTGTACATACAAGTACGTGGGTTTCCATGCTGTGGCTACTCGAAGTCACTTTCTCTGTGTGACTCAGAGCTGACACATGGGGCGTTCACCCCCCTCACTGTGGGCCTGGGGCTCTGGGATGAAAACGGAGCAGCTCCACCTGTGCCCACAGACCCCGCCCTCCACAGCCACCCTCGTCCCATCTCTCCGAGCCACTTTTTTGACTTCCCTAGGAGCATTGTCTTCGCAGTTCTGAAAACTTTGACTTCCTGTCTCACAGGGTTGTGGGCTGGAAAAGCGGGAGAGTTCACAGATGAAGGCCTGGCTGCTGGTGGCGGCCTGGGTGATGCTGGGGTCTCTGGACATTGTCAGGCATCTGATTCTGGGGACAGTGAAGCCTGTGAGAGCCGCAGCCCAGGGGGCTCCCCAGACTCACACTTCATTTTGCCCCCGTGGGGAATGCATTTACCCAGAGTCCGGTGTGTGGAAAGCACGAACCACTAGATGAAAGTCTTGAGACAGACCTTGAAGACTCCTAGTGCATTTGAGAAGATGTCAGAATCCCTAAAGTCTCCAGTAATTTAGCCATTTAGAAACATTCTCCAGGCTTAGATCAAATGGACATACAGACATTGATCTCCCTGGTTAATGTGTTTAGAAAGAGAACTCTAATTTACACTTTGTGATTTGCACAAGTGTATTTGACTGCATGCTCGGGAGAGACAGAGAGCAGACTGCTTCTGTAAAGACGGCGTCGTGCGGTCTGTACGGTCGCTGGGACCAGTGTTGATCCAGGACATGACTCATGGATCAACACTGGGTTTGGCTATTAGACCATTTAATCAGAACTGGGTCCTAAAGGATTACATTTCAAGTTGTTTTTTAAATTTATTTTTGAAGTTTCTATTGTGAATTGGGTGCTAGTTTACATGGGAGAACATCAGCTTCACATTCAGCCTATCGTATTTGGTTTCATTATAATGATTACAATCCCCTCCATGCATCATCGTTTAACAGAATATACTTCTACCCCGTCTGTTTTGGGTGTTTTTTTTTTGCATGTACACCGAAACACTCAGAAGTATATAACCATTCAAACAACACCCCCCCACCCCTACCCCCAGCCATCAGGACTCCCTCCCTGAGTCCAGAGTCCCCAGCCACTCCATCTCCCCCGTCATTGTCTCTGCCTCCATCTCTGGTGTCACTGCTTCTCTGGGTAGGGTCCTGCATTCCACTCTTCTCTGTTGATGGTCCCAGGGACCTCTGCTCCTAGACTGCGAGATCAACTACTCCCTCCTTTTGTTACAAAGCGTCTACCTTTACATTTGCAACCTTCACAGTCAGTCCTGATAGCAATTATTCATTATTGTACCACAAGAGTCTTATCCCCAAGTCATTTTATTGTTATGAACATGAATTCTTAGTCAAAACAGTTAACATCTAACTTACATCATGTTTTCAAACAGTAATATGGCTTACTGAAATTGTTTTCCCAAGAGATAATTTCCTCTAAGTTCGAAACTCAACATGAAATTTTAAAGTATACTCTTTGAAAATCTGTTCTCACTCTGGTCTTCACGCAGTTCTTCCATCTTCCGCCAGCTTTGGAAGCATCTTGCTGATGTGAATTTCATTAAACAAATGCAAACAGAAATTTTTATTTCCCCTCCACTGTTACACAAAAAGATAAGCTTGTAATTTATACTTCTTAATGAAAAGCTGAACTGAAGGCATAAATGAAAAATAAAACTCTTGAAATCGACAGAATACCAATTTAAATATTTCACTAAAGTGGATGATGTAGCGCTGGAAACACTCACGAGTCCATACCAAGAAATTTGGAAGACAGCTACCTGGCCAGCTGGCTGGAAGAGATCCATGCATGTGCCCAGTCTACCAAAAGGTAACCCCAAAGAATGCAGACATTTTCGAATATTATCATTAATACCACACTCAAGTAAAATTCTGCTGAAGATAATTGAAAAATGGTTGCAGCACCACATAACAGGGAGCTGCCAGAAATCCCAGCTGGATTCACATGAGGACATGCAGCGAGGGTTTGGATATCACTGTTAACGTCAGATGGATCCTGGCTGAGTTTAGAGAATACCAGAACCATGTTTACTTGGCTTCTATTGACTATGCACACGCATTGGACTGTGTGGATCATAGCAAACTAGAGATACCATTGTGAAGAGTGCGCATTCCAGAACGCGTAATTGGCTTATGCAGAACCTGTACGTAGACCAAGGACAGTTATTTGAAAAGATCTAGGGGACACTGCCTGATTTAAACTCAGGAAAAGTGTGCATCACAGTTGTATTCTCTCACCTTACTTATTCAGTCTGTGTGCTGAGCATATGACCCAAGAAACTGAAGTATATGAAGAACGTGGCATCAGGCTTGGAGGAAGGCTCATTAACAACCTGCAATATGCAGGCACAGTCTTGCTTGCTGAACGTGAAGAGGACTTGAAACACTTGCTGATGAAGTTTCAAGAATATAACCATGCCTGATGAAATGAAATCCGGATGGATCTCTTGGGATTCAACAGTGAATAATTGTTATCTGGATTGCTTGTGAGGGATGGAATTGTAAAGGTAGAAGTTTTGTAGTAAGGAAGGGCGTGATTAACTTTCAGCCTTAAGAGCGGAGGGCCGTGGGACTATCAAGGGAGAAGAGCGGAGAGTGTGGGACCCTACCCAGAGAAGCAGTGATGCTGAGATGGAGGCAGAGACGATGACATGGAGAGATGGAGCAGCTGGGGACTTTAGACCCAGAGAGGGAGAGGAGCTGTGTGCTGACGACCAGGGGGCAGGCTTGTAGTGTATACCCTTTGGATGGTTGATGATGCATGGAGGGGATTGTAACCATAGCAATGAAATTATATATTATAGGATGAATGTAAAAAAAATAAAATAGAATACAGCCATGCCTTTTTATGATGATGGCACCAAAAGTGAAGAAGGCAGCCCCTGCCCCTCCCAAAGCTGAAGCCAAAGCAAAGGCATTGGAGGCCAAGACGGCAATGCTGAAAGGTGTCCACAGGCACAACAAAAAGATCTGCACATCACCCACTTTCTGGCAGCCCCAGACTCTGAGCCTCCGGAGGCAGCCCAGATATCCTCAGAAGAGTGTCCCCAGGAGAAACAAGCTTGACACTAGGCCATCATCAAGTTCCCTCTGAGTACTGAGTCAGCCCTGAAGACCACTGAAGATAGTAACACACACTTGTGTTCATTGTGGAGGTCAAGGCCAACAAGCGCCAGATAAACAGGCCATGAAGAAGCTCTATGACACTGATGTAGCCAAGGTCAACACCTTCATCAGGCTGATGGGGAAAAGAAGGCAGATGTTTGACTGGCTCCTGGCTAGGATGCTTTGGATGTTGCCAGCAAAATTGGGGTCATCTCAACTGCATCCAGCTGGCTAATTTTCAATTTTTTCAATCAAAAAAGAATCCTGCCGTCAGTATGGATGACAGCTCATTGTAAAGAAAACAGAAATCAGGACGTGATCAATCAACAACACCATGATTGTCTTAACATGGGTTCTCAAGAGAAGCAAACCCAGGGACGCTTCTATCTATAAATGCACAGAGAGCTTTATATCAAGGGAATGACTTACACAGTCGTAGAGGCCGGTGAATTCCAAGTCTGTGGGTCAGGTGGCAGTCTGGAGGTGTCTTCTGATTCATGAAGCTGGATGAACTCAAGATTGGCAAGTCCATGGCAGACTTGTGGTTGTAGAGGTGAATGGAAACAAACTCAGCAGGTAAGATGGCAGGTGACTGATGACTCCTAGGAGCCACTGGCTCAAGTCTGCAGAACTGGAGGTTGAATGGTGGACAAGCCAGACACAGCATCCAGACCCACGTTGAGGGCTACGATGCACCTGACCTAAGCCAGGGTATTTTCAGTCAGTTTATATGCATGTGAAAGCTGGACAGTGAATAAGGAAGACCGCAGAAGAATTGATGCCTTTGAGTTATGGTGTTGGAGGAGAACCAGGGACTGCCAGAAGAACAGACAAATCTGTCTTGGAAGAAGTACAGTCCGAATACTCCTCTGATGCCTTTCCTTCAGATGTGTGATCGGGAAGGACCAGTCCCTGGAGAAGGACATCATGCTTGGTAAAGTGGACAGTCAGCGAAAAAGAGGGAGACCCTCAACGAGATGGTGGCAACAATGGGCTCAAGCGTAATGACGACTTTGAAATGGGCCCAAGACCTGATGGTGTTTGTTCTGCTGTGCGTAGGGTCTCCGTGAGTCACAACCGACTCCACAGCTCCTGACAACAACAACGTTGTAAATGTAGAGAATAGTATCGTGTGTGCTTTCCCACGTACGTTTCTTTGGTTTAAATCCACGTTAGGAGAGTTAGTCCGTGGGCCTTTGGTAGAATGTACTGACTCAGTAGTGTTTCCTTGTAGGAATATACTGCGGTTACGTGTTCGCTCTTGGACGTCTCCTTCTCACTTAGGGCTCCGTGTGTTGAACGGAAGCCCTGCATTAAGTGAGCGCCCCTTCTGGGCTTTCGCCTCTCAGTTGACGGTGCACCTTCTGTTGTGGTTATCTGCTGTCACTACAGCAGACCTACCACAGGCAGCAGAGATTTACTACCTTAGAGCGTAGGATGCTAGTCAGAATTCAGGGGCCTGGCACTGGGGGTAGCTTCCTTTCTTTCATCTCTAGAGGCAGGTCCTTGTCTCTCTGTAGCTTCTTCCTCCTTGCTTCATATTAGTCTTCTGTGTCAGATTACCAGCAAGCAAGGTAAACACAGGTGCACTCATGCATACTCTGCAGTGAACAATTTCACATCATTCCACCACATCAAAGATTCAGCTTCTACTGCATAAGACCAGAGGTGTGACTTTTGAACATAT